ATATCATTTGCTAAAAACTTCAGTATGTATATAATTTGAAAAGCTCCACAGGCAGTCCTGGTACGAAATTAGGGTTGATCATCACTTCAGAATTTGTTTCAATGCCCTAGAAGGTTTTTTTTTTTTTTTTAATTTAATTTATTTATAAAAAGGGAGTTGAGTTTTTTTGGGTCAGGGGGGTGAGGTGGGGAGATTCTTATGCCCTCTACTGAAAGTTCTTTGTGATATACTATCAAGGAGAAAATTGCCTTTTGGAAAACTTGATTAAAGACCAATAAGGTTATGATTAGCAAGCATTCACCCAGTTGTTCCTTCTTAACCTTCCTTGAATAGATTCAAATGAGAAACTTTAGGGGAACATGTTTATTTAGCACATAAGGAAAGGTAAGGGAGAAAAAATAAGAAAAATCTTAACAGAGCACATTTTATTATGTTTTCGCCACCCGGTAAATTTTGCAAATTAAGAAAAACAAATGTTATTTGGGGCACCTGGCTGGCTCAGTTGGAAGAGTACACGACTCTTGATCCTTGGGTCTTGACTTCAAGCCCCCATGTTGTGTGTAGAGATCACTTAAATAAATAAAAACTTTTTATATTTTTTTATTTTTTTAAAAAAAGAACTTAGTAGATTAGATTCTTTTTTTTTTTAATTTTTTTTTCACGTTTTATTTTTTTTTATTTTTGAGAGAGAGAGAGAGACAGAGCATGAACAGGGGAGGGGCAGAGAGAGAGGGAGACACAGAATCTGAAACAGGCTCCAGGCTCTGAACTGTCAGCACAGAGCCCGACGCGGTGCTCGAACTCACGGATGGTGAGATCATGACCTGAGCCGAAGTCGGACGCTTAACCGACTGAGCCACCCAGGCGCCCCAATAAAAACTTTTTAAAAAGGAAAAAAAATTAAAAGTTATTTGACAGTTAACCTACCTGAGGTAGAAAATTGGAGAATTCAAAGAAAATAAAGCATCAATAACTTCACTATCCAATACCATCACTTGTATATTGCTGTATTTCCTGTCTTCCCAGGCACTTTACATGTAACATCCTAAAATGAACAGATGATAGACATATACATAGACATAAAAACATACACAATGCACAGTATCATCTCTTGCTTTTTGCCACAAGGGCACTTTTTTCCCCCCCCAAAGCAGTCAGGTGCTCTCATTTTTCTAATAAGTGCTGCTATTTATTATGTGGTTATATCAGCATATCTTTCTTTCTTTGTTGCAGAATTGTAGAGTATCAGTTTCCAGAGATGGTTAAAAGTTTATGTCAGATCTAGATCAGTAACCATTTTTTTTAGAGTTTTTTTTACCAACTTTTTTTAAACGTTTATTTATTTTTGAGAGAGAGAGAAAGAATCCAAAACAAGCTCCAAGCTCTGAGCTGTCAGCAGAGAGCCCAATGTGGGGCTCGAACTCATGAACTGTTGAGATCATGACCTGAGCCGAAGTCGGACGCTTAACCAACTGAGCCAGGCAGGCGCCCTGATTTTCCCAACAGTTTATGATAAAAACTCCCAAATATGGAGAATTGAAATGATCACAATGGACACCTACACACCTTCTACCTTGATTCAACAACTGTAAACATTTTACCATATTGGCTTTATCTGTGTGTGTGTGTGTGTGTGTGTGTGTGTGTGTGTGTGTGTGTGTATATTACTTTTTTTCCCCCTTTCTTTCACGAACCTTTTAACAGTACATTGCAGACATCATCTTGGAATATTTTGGCATGAAGCTCTTAAAAATGAGGACATTTTGGGTGCCCGGCTGGCTCAGTTGATAGAGAATTCAACTCCTGATCTTGGGGTCGTGACTTAAAGCCCTACATTGGGTATAGAGCTTAGTTTTAAAAAAAGAAAAAAATGAGGGCATCTTTCCAACCATAAATCTAGTATTATAACCATAATACTATTATCATACCTAATAAGATAAAGATTATCATCTAGTGCCAATTCCAGATTTTCCCAGTTGTCCCTAGAATGCCTGTTACAGTAGTTATTTTAAACGATGGTCTAATCAGGCTGTTACGGTATAAGTCAAGCATATTAATGAAGTTTGTAACCAAGCCCCCACTTTCTTTTTTCCCTTGCCACTGAAAAAGAAGGGCCTGAGCCAGCTTTGTATAGCATGTCCTACATTCTGGATCATATGATTGTTTTCTTGTGTCCTTTAACTCAGTCCTCTATTCCCTGTTTTCCCGTAAATTGGGAACTCGCTTTATTAAATTTGTATTAAACATGTTTGGCAAGAACACACAGGACATGGCCCTACACTCCCTAATGCATCACATCAGGAGGCACATGATGTAAGGTTCTTCCTTTTAGACTGTCAGCTTAACTGTGATCAGCTTTGATGTGAGAGCGTGTTCGGCTAACGAGATTAAGCAGCTGCTATTGTAGAAACCTGTAAGTTTTCCAAAATTTAATAAAATAGGAAAGGAGTGAGTAGTTTCCTATTCATATCTTATTATCATGTTTAAAATAACTCGTTTATTTTTATCTAGAAATGTTTTAATTGAAGTATTTAAATACAAAAAGGAAATAAAATTCTTATCCACAGAAGCATTAAAATTTCCCCAAAATCCAGTCTAAATTTATAGTTTTACATTTTGTGTCTCCTCTCCTACCTGTCATTTTGCAGAAGTGATGAAGAAACTAATGTTCTAATGGCCTGCTTTTCTGTCCTTTCCTGTTGCTTTAAACACTAATTTCCTTTTGTACTAAACCATTATAGCCAATTACTGGTTTTTCTTTTATAAGTAAGTCAGTTTTAGGAATGCTTGTGTTGCTGTTGAATTCCAATAGCGGAGTAAATTTCAGATGGAGCTTCAAATGACAGTGTGGAATAAGATGTAAACTAGTTAATGGTAATTTGCTAAAATCGACTTGATATTTCCATTGGAAGTTTTCATTGACACAAGTAAGACTTGATACGTATCTAATGAACTGTTCTCGTGCTTAGCCTATATTACTCGTGGTAGAGAAATGAGTGCTTTGCTGTGATATGTTATGATATACATGTGATATCCTAGTTTGTCTACTGACACTGGGGTCTTGAATCTTAAAAAAAGGCCTCCGAGGAAGCAGAGGAAAGTGGATCACAGGGAAAATTGGTGGAAGCTCTCAGGCAAATGAGAATTAATCATAGGGGAAACTACCGACAACTTCTGGAGGAGATGCTGACTAGTTACAGGCTAGCTAAAGTAGAGGGAGAAGAAAGCCCGGCTGACCAAGCTGCCACAGCTCCTTCTTCGAACAGTGATGCTGGAAGCCCAGTGACAATGCAGGAAGGCCATACTGAATCAAAAAGTGATCTTGCTGAATTAGACAGCTATAATGAAGATGCAGGGACAAAGATGAGTGGTAAACCCATGTGACCTGACTCCGTGGTAATATTTTTGTGATCTTTGATTTGATGGTTTTTACTTAGGAAGTGTAATGTATGCATTTATAGAACCGTTTTGTTATTTGAACCCTTGGTCAACTAGTTTTATTACATTCATATAGCCTTGTTTTTTAAAGAAGGCCTTTGCATACACCTTTATCAGTTTAAAGTGGACTATTTCTAGAACTTTGAATTTAATAAAGTTATATGTCATTTCCTATTGTATGCCAGAAATGAGGCTACTAGTTATTCAAATCAATAGTTAAAGTCATACTAGACAGGATTAGAGATTACTGATAAGCGAGATTACATTATATTGTGGAAAAACTTGTTAATGTAGAATTATATTGCTTCACATTATTTTACATACTAGAACACTCATCGTTAGCTTTGTAATAAATTTGTGTTTTCTTTAGTAATTTCAGTTCCTCAAAGAATGGCAGATGCTGGCCTGTACTTTTTTTTTTTTTTTTCCAAGGATGATGATTTGTGTGTTCTTTGACTTGTTTATATTTTACATCTCTGTAGTTTTATTTTTAGAAGTTCTGAGCTATTGCATATGTGGTTATTTTTCCTTTCTCTGTATTCTTTATTGAAACCTATTTTTTGAAAAATCTATGTATTATTGATACAGCTTTGGTTTGTACATTCTGTATAGCCTAACTACATACATCAAAATGTATGTCAACCAAGTGTTTAGAATGAAATTATAAGTGTTCAAGTCCAAATAAAGCATGTGATGTGGAATAATCTATGCATGTTGTACTTATTTTTAAATCAAAACAAAAATTTTTTTTAACAACCAGGTTTGGTATATTGGAAAAATGCCCCTTAGAAATTCATTTGTATTTATATACCATTTAGAAAACTTTTGGCTTGGCTTTTTTCAGTAACTAAAAGAAAACATTTTGAGAAGTCTTGCTTACTCAAATCCATTCTGTTTCTTATCCCCTTTTTGTGATACAAAATCTTTTGTGATACTAATCTTTGGACAGTATGGACACACATAGACATGTCGGAAAATTGCCATGATGAGCGTTTTAAAGATTGCAAGACTGTGATCTTTGCTGTAAATATTCATCAGCTCTTAACAAAGGCAAGAATCACAGGATGGTTTACATAGTGGCAGATACGAGTTTTTTGTTGTTGTTGTTAAAAATAGGTTTTTAAGATACGGGAGTCACACGGGGAAATTTTTTTTACAGCTAAATTATTTTGTGAATGTAGAACATTAACTTCTCTCCTTCGTGTTTCTATTTATCACGTATCTAAAATTGCTTAACGTGCGCTAAGGTGAAACTTTGGATCTTCGAACGTAGCTGATGTTTTGATCTGTTTTTCCAATGCCAGAATGTTTTTAAGTGGTTTGTGAAAGAGGAAGGCATTTGGTGGAGAGGGGAGGAAAAAACCCAACCAGTTACCTATCTGTAGTAGATAGACCCATGTGTGTACACAAGGTATACACTGCACACAGCTCTCTGTAAAAGTGCCTTTTCAAACAAAGGAAGGTAATTTGTTCATCTAATTTTGTTTTCTTTTGAAATTCAATCCAACCCGGAAGTGGTGTAGGTAAATAATAATAATATTCTTCCTTTTCTCTTCCTGTAGGGTGCTGGAGATCTAGAAGACCCATGGTAGCCTTATAAACCTTCTAAAATGCTTTTGATTCTGAAAATTGGGGGAAAAAAAACTTTTAATCACAATTTGCTTCAATACAAGGGAAACATATTCTTGTGGATTCCCACCGTTTTGTGATATGAGCAGAAAATCATTAGCATTTCCCACCATTTGTTCATATTTGTGTTTTCTGATAATTGCCACTTGTAGCATTGCCTGTACTGCAGTATTTTTCGCCAACCTCAGGCATACTGGTTACACCTGTATTGAACTTTGGGCCCTAGGAACCAACGGAGTGATTTCACCACAAATTACAAACTGTGCCCAAGGTGCATGGGAATATAGTTAGCTGTACTCTGAAGATACATTATGTTTTCGTTTTTGTTTTTGTTTTAGACAAGACACACAACATATAAGCATGTAAGAGTAAAGAATTGTATGGGATGCTCCTTTCTCAGTTCACCACGTTGGAAGCCTTTTGCAGCTCTGTGGCTTGAGATTTCCTTTGAGCAATTTACTATAGGATATATATTTATTATTAATTGTTATTTAATTTTTTTTTTCTAATTTTACCTGTATTACCAAACTGGGTTCTCCGATAATGTCCAAATTGTAATGTTGCCTGCTTCAAGATAAAGTGTATTTGGCAATAATATAAACCCTCACAAATTTTATGCATGTATCTACTACATCCTTCAACTCTCACTAGAAAATCTTTTGAAACCAAATGGGTTAATTTATGGCTATTTATAATTTGCTTTGACATCTCACTGCTGCAAATTTTTTTAAATGATGAGATTTTGCCTTTATAATGTAAATTGTGATTTTTGTTTTACATGTGGGTTTCTATAGTTTTACCTTTTCAGCTTTTAAGATACAAGTTTTATGTGTAATTTGGTATAATTTTTAATTGTTTACGTTATTTTAAAAGCTCAGAATATCACATTGAAATGACTATAAATACATTTAAAATTATCTATTTTAGATCTAAGGAAATATTACAGAGATATTTTCATGGGTTCAGTAACCTTTCATTTTATAACATTGGGCACGGTACAGAGTGGCTATCACATAAGGTACTTGAAGATTATTTTAATTCTATTTTTACAATAACCTTGAATTCTTGAATTCTTTTGAGTTTTGCATGTAGTAAAATCCAATTAATGCTGAACATGAAGAGTAAAATATTTATCTAAAAGAAGCTATTGGGGTAGGAGAAGCAATGAATGTATCCATTTGTACATGGTTTACATGTTGTGGATGCTTTGTAAACATTATCCTATATGTTTAAATTGTGTTTCAGCAGGATGTAATTGCCCTTGTGTGTAGTTAAAATGAGTCGTCATCTGGTCCTGTGTGAAATGGAATTCATGATATTTTCTGTAACATTTTCCTGAAGCTGTTTCTGGAGAGCCACACCATTTGAATACAGACAGCTTTCCTGATCATTTGATTTATTGTGCACCTGATTTTTGGTCTAAAGGAATTATTGCCACAATATATTTTATTTATTCCTTAGATTTTAGCCTTGTAAGTTAAAGTGCTTTACATGATGATGTTAAAAGCTATCTGTCCCTTTACCGGGTTTGGGGGGTTGTAAAAAGATAGGGAATGAAGAATGCAAAATGGTTTATTGTTCATACTGCCCACTCTGATCCAACCCTGTACTGATAGTACCTTTCCAGTAAGATATTGTGATGTTTCATACAATGCAGTGAACATAACCAACTTGTTACCTAAATAAAGAATTGATAAAAACAGTGTGACATATTACTATTTGGTATGATTTTTAAAAGCAAAAGTCCAGTTTTGAATGTTCTTTTTTAACGTTTTACATAGTTGGAATATTTATTGTGAAATTTTCATGCAAAGCCATGTGGGTGATTTATAATCCCAAAGAGGAATTATCCAAACTGTATAGGACAATACTGACTAATTCCTTCTTCACTCCAAAACCATTTTTTATGCCATCTTTTCAAGTGGTCTAGTGGCCCTTGACATACAAATAATGTGTGAATGAGAAGAAAAACCTGAATTCAGTCTTCACTAATCTGAATTTTCTAGTCCAGCTGTTTTCAAATATTTTAGTCTTAGAACCCATTTATATTCTTTTTTTTTTCATTTATATTTTTGAAGATCAAAGATCCCAAAGAACTTCTGCTTTTGTGGGTTTTATTTATTGTATTAGAAATTAAAGCCAAGACATTTATATTGTGTACTATTTTTATTCACTAAAAAATGAAATCAGTTGACTGTTAACATAAATAACATTGTTTCATGACAAATAATTATTTTCCAAATTTAGAAAATTACGTGTGACAAATAGCACTTGTTTTCGTTTTTGTAAACTCTAATGTTGGGCTGGATTCTCACGTCTGATTGTGCATTCATTTTGTTGCAATGTGGCACTTTGAAGTATATGAAGAAATCTGGCATCACAAAAATACGTATATGGAAAGGGTATTTTAACAGCTTCAGGTAATTTTGAATATTTTGTTTGATATACTGTCAGAACTTCAGAGCTGGTAGTTTCTTGAAGGTTGGATGCAGTGTGAAATCCGCAACTTGATCAGCTTCGTACTCTGTTACACTAAAATCCATTTGCTCTATCTTGTTGGAGTTTGAATGGATCTCCTACTTTGGCATGATTTTGTAACATCATACACTGATCTTTTGGAAAATACCGTTTCATCGAATTGTGCTTTCTGTAGAATATTGACACATTATTATGCAGTGTTTAAGATTTTCTTGTTACTATAACTGATCTCCTCAGAAAAAAATCTTGTTAAGTATTGGGAAGCTGTCAGGCTCACGGTGATGGATACAGATTTTTCAAAATTCTAATTGTCATTTGAAAGGTGAAATTTTGTCACCAGCAACAAATATTGTCAGTTGTTTTCCTTAAGCGACAGGCTTATTACTTCATTTGTTTCGGAGAAAATGTCTGCTGAATAACCATAGTCTGTCAGTCATTCTTTCAAGGCAAAATGGTGCTTCATGAAAGCGGCTAGTTCAGCACACAGCTTAAGTGACAGCCGTCACACTCAAGCATGCTACAGGAGCCGGTACCTCCCTTTTCATCACCTAAGATACTCAAAAGATGTGTACTCAAGGATAAAGGTGTAATAAAAAAAAAGTTTTCCTGCTTAATCAAGGACACCATTAAGTGAAACAGGTCCCCCCCCCCCCCCCGCCCCTGCCCTTTCTCTGTGTGTGGCACGAAGAGAACAGTAGCAGCTGATTAGTTTGTTGTCTGTCTGGATACACACCGAGGGGTCTTCACTGTTACCCACTATTTCTTTTGCACGGTCCATGCAAGTGTCAACATGTTGAAAAAATAGTAAGTATTAGTATTGTTAAGGACGTAGTTCTGATTTCATAGACCTCCTTGAAAGGTCCATTTTAGTCTTTTACAAAGTCTTGGGTGACTACAGATTTGTGTTAAGTCGTTTTACCACACCTGAGATGTCACGTCACGTTGGCCGGATAAAGATAGGACTTTTTTTTTTTAAATGACCATTAAATGGAGGGGGGCTTTATGAAGTTTTTTTGTTAAGGTTTTTCACTTAGCTGAACATTCAAGCAGAGTTGAGTGAAGTTGCCATGGAAGTGTTAAAAAAAAAAAAAAAAGCAAGCACTTGTAATTTGTCTCCTGTTTCTTGCCCAATTATGAGGCTTGGTAATTATAATATTGACTTAAAAGACTTACTGCTTGAGCTTTTGGTTTTAAATGTGTTTAGTTAAAAGTAACTGCAACTCTGAATTCTCCTTAAGTCCTTAGGTCAGTTTTATTTTGGGGATGTGTGGGATTCAGTTGGGTTTTGATGTCTTTTCACAGTGCTTGTCAGGCTCTCTCCCAACCACATAAGTAGATCCTTGGTCTTCATAAGAAACTGTAGCAAAATTTAAAACTCAGATGAAGTTTCCACATTAATGAGTCAGTCTTCCTATGTGAAAATGATGGTGCTTGCCATGTCCCCTGAGGTGTTCCTCCCCCCCCCCCCCCCCACAAGCTAGGCTTCAGAATGGCTTTTAATGACCAGGGAAATGGTCATGAGTTGGGGAGACAGGTTACTATAATATTAGCCCAACATTTGAGCTGGAAATTAGAGCCTCACCAATTCATATTCTAAACTAAGCTACCTGAAATACTTGATGGAGGAAGACTGTATAAATAAGTATTCTGACGTTATGAACAAAGTTAGTTTTTAGACAACAAATTGGTCATCAGAAAACTGTGTGTGTTTTCTGGACGCGTGAAAGTATGCAGTCAGACCAGTGCGTCCGTGTTATGTTACTGGAGTTAAACTTCAGTTATTGAAATTAACTGGAACTTGGCCATTGAATTTCTTTTACTTGCCAAATCATAGATTGCATTTTTCAATGATTTCAAATTCACATTTCCTCTTCCAAATTGCCTTTATTTGTATTTTGGCACTAATCGGATTTAACTAATAATAAGGGAAAGCATTTGATGAAGATTTTAGAGCACATTTTGTTTTGGGTGGCTAAATAGTAGTAAGTAAAAACTAGCATATTGTGGTTTGTGTCACATGTTAATACAATGCTCAAAGCGCAGAAAATCCATTGTATTTGTAATACAAAAGCTAAAAGTCATCACAAGTAGAATTTAAGGTACTTCAAAGCAATTTGAAGAGTTACTTGCTTTTGCAAATAAACTCTTATGGGCATTATAACAATTTGTTTTGCATTGTATTTTTGTGTTCAGTTGCTTTAAGGTTTTGTTTTTTGCTTTTTTGTTTTCCTATTCAACTTTGGGAATTTTCCGTAAGCCCTAATGAGAACGCTAAGCAAGTGTTTATTTTTGTGCATTGTGTGTTATGTTGTGGTCTAGAAGTAAACCAGCTAGCTACTAATACAGAATAAGTTGCTTTTCAGGCTGTGACTACATCCCTGCTGTTCTCACTTGCTGTGTTTCTTGACTGTGGTCTCTTCTCCTCGGCCCCTTATTTTGTTTTAGTTTCATTCTACCTGTCAGATACTTCTGTTAACTAGATACGTCATTTCCTGCTTAAATGGTAGCTATGCTCCTCTAATTCAGGAGTGAAGGGTACATGATCTTGGTATTAGGAGGTTAGTGATTCTTTTATCTCTCATATCCACAACTCTAGCAGCACAAAAAAGAACTGTAACTTGCAAGTATGGGTGGAATTGGGCGCCTGGGTGGCTCAGTGGGTTAAGTGTCTGACTTTGGTTCAGGTCTTGATCTCGCAGCTCATAGGTTCAAACCCCACGTTGGGCTCTGTGCTGACAGCTCAGAGCCTGGAGCCTGCTTCGGTTTCTGTGTCTCCCTCTCTCTCTGCCCCTCCCCCACTCACGCTCTGACTTTCTCTCAAAAATAAATGAACGTCAAATATGGGTGGAATCAAAGTTTTGGGATTTTCCCCCCTTGACTAATAACACTAGTCTATAATGGCAATAGTAATTTCTTTAGTAATTAAATTTGTACAACAAATTCATTTTTCTTCTCATAACATCTATCTCTAATGAAAATACTTGGGCATGTATTTGAGTGAAGAGGACCAGTACAATCTAAGGGCAGAGAGGAGACAGAATCCGAAGCAGGCTCCAGGCTCTGAGCTGTCAGCAGAGAGCACGATGCGGGGCTCGAGCTGGTGAACCACGGCGAGATCATGACCTGAGCCGAAGTCGGACACTTAACCAACTGAGCCACCCAGGTGCCCCAATAGTTAACATTTTAAAATGATTTATACTCAACAATAAACTAATAGTCTTAAGAATTTTCATCTAGTTCAAATTCCCTAAAATGTTAGAATGACAAGGGTGCCGTTTTTCAACCTCCAGAGCAGTTCTGCTTTTTTCTGTGGTACTTGTTGGGATTCCATAGAAGATTTGATTTGAGTAAAGGTTCTTTGACTTTGAAAAGCTTAAAGGTCACCAGGGTCAGAGTGTATGTATATATGACTTGGCAAATGAAAGTAGACCTACGCTCTTTTACAAGGAAGGAAACTCAGAAGTGTGTGGGCTGAACTGTGAATGAGAATTACAGGTTTTGATTTGTGATCTACCCAAGTATTCAGATTTACATATTTAGGAGGTGGGGAAGGGGAATGGAGTTGTGCCAAAGGCCAAATATCACCCACCACGAGGGGTCAACCACCTCATTACTCCTTCCCTCCCACATCCACCCACCATGTTGGGTGAGTTTTGATTTGGGCCAGGGGTTGGGGAGTGGTATTTACGGGGAGGAAAGTGTGTTATTCCCAACCTCAGGTTTGAGTTTATTTGCTCACATTATTACCTCTACATCCCCTCTTCTATAAAACAAGCTAATGGTTGAGAAATACATTGGTATTCTTTTGTGTGACTACCCCACAGTGTAGTCCCCATTTCATCATCAAGGGATATTTAGACTATTTGTAACTCTCCACTAAAAAAACTGATGCAGTGGGTGTCCTGGCATGTGTCCCTTTGAGCACATGTACTAGTGTTTTTCTAGTATTTGCCTAGAGATAAAATTACTAGGTTATTAAGTAGTCATGTCTTCAAGTTAATAATGCAAATGCATTCTACTAAAGGTGTATACTAGTCTCCATTTCCACTAGAAATGTACAGAAATTCCTTTTTCTCTGTCCATCTCCATTCTCAGTTAATGCCGGTATTGTCAGACTTTAAATTTACCAGTTAGGTGAACATGAAATAGTATGTCTTCATTTGCATATCTGGTTCCATGTGAGGCAAACATCTCTGTATGTGTGGCTGTTTGAGTTTCATCTGAAATGATTG